TTCCAATAAGAAAATATGGGTTTGTTTCAAATAAATCAGGTCAAGAAAATGCATTTACTTGATTCAATGAACTTTTTTTTCAGTGTATTATTAATATATTTAATTATTTCTACTAAACATAACGTTTTATGTCAAACTTATTAAATTTTAGCAATTTTTAATGAGTGTCTCACAACTGGAGACATTTTTTTTTTTGAAAAAAGCGATGTGCTCGGAAAATGTATCGTAAAATTTTTTGAGTTCATCGAAACACTATACTTTCTTTTAATAAAAGTTGCGTATTTCTGTTACCTTTCGAACGGTGTATTTTATTAACAATTTCGTTTACCCGTTTACAATTTACGGGTCAAAAATGAAACCCGTCTCACAACTGGAGACTCTCCCCTACAATTTTTCAAAAAAGGAGGCTTATTTTCTTATTCCGTTGCTGCATATGATCTGAATCAGTTCAAATTAATACAATATGACCACCACACAATTAATAAAACAGAAAGTAATTTATATCAATTGTTATAAACAATAATGTTAATATGTTAATAAATATAAATGTTAATATTAATTAACAAATAGTTAACTTTGATTTCTTTCCACTAAAAAATGTTTTTTCACCTTTTCTTTTTAATTTAAGTTCATTTAAAGAATATTTGTCCTTATTAATTATAAAATAACTTATTTAAATTGTTATAAACAATATTAATTAACAAATAGTTAACATTGATTCCTATTCCACTAAAAATTTTTTTTCACATTTTCTTTTTAATTTAAGTCTATTTAAAAAATATTTGTCCTTTTTGATTAAAAAATAACTTATTTAAATTGTTATAAACAATATATTAAATAACAAATAGTTATGTAACTTATGTTCCTGTCCACCAAAAAAATTTTTTTCACGTCTTCTTTTTAATTTAAGTTCATTTTAAAAATATGTGTCCTTTTTGTTTACAAAAATAACAATAATAATAATAATAATAATAATTGGAGAGAAATCAAAGTTAACTATTTGTTAATTAATGTTGTTTATGACAATTGAAATATATTACTTTATGGGTTTTTAATTGTCTGCTGGTGATATTGGATTAATTTGAACTGATTTAGAGCATGTGCAGTAACGGAATAAGAAAATAAACGTCCGTTTTTAAAAAATTGTGTTAATTTGTTAACTTTGATTGAAATTTGAAAATAAAAATTATATACAATTAAAAACTCAAAAATTGGCCTCGAGGGATGTCTTAAGAATTTATTCTCCTTTAATTTAAAACAATAGGACAAACGCACCAATTATTTTTCACACTTAAATTGAAATTCCATGTTTAAGGCAAAAAAATAAATTATTATTAATTAATAATTTTTAGTATTATTGTGAATTATTAATAATAAAAATTTTTTTATTATTTTAAAAAATAGTTAAATTATAAATAATAGAGAATAAATAATTAAATTAATAATTTTTACCATATTATTATGATAAACATATTAATTTATATATATATATATATATATATATATATTTCTACCTGGGTAGCGAAAAGATCGGGGGAAATCCCATGGCCCCGATCGGGTCCCGACAGGGCGGCCAGATCGGGCAAAGTGCCATGGCCCCGGTCGGTTTTAGTGTTTCAACCAGGCCGGGGCCAGGTCGGGTTGCCAGATCGGGGCCCGGTTTGTCCCGATCTGGCCCCGACCTGGCCCCGGTCAAAATTTCTGCATAGAAATGAATTTTCTCATCTAAAACAAAGCTAAATTCATAAGGGAAATGAAGTTTTAAGAAAAAAAGGATAATTTTGTTCAAAAAATTTATTCACACTGAAAAAGGTTAGAATTTGATAATTCCTTGTTACTCTTACTTACCGACATTAGATATTTCTCGGATGCAGTAAGCACGATTTTGTATTAGCGGTAGAATAAATAAGTTTTTCTTCATTACTAATTAATAATATATTATTATTTATTTATTATATAAATGTTCTTATATAGAATAATTAAATTTAATACAAAATCGTGCTTACTGCATCCGAGAAATATCTAATGTCGGTAAGTAAGAGAAACAAGGAATTATCAAATTCTAACCTTTTTTCAGTGTGAATAAATTTTTTGAACAAAATTATCCTTTTTTTCTTAAAACTTCATTTCCCTTATGAATTTAGCTTTGTTTTAGATGAGGAAATTCATTTCTATTATCTACATTTACTTTAAAATAGTAGTGTTACATTAATAAAAATGCTTCAAAAGTCACCTCGTATACAAGCATCTATACACTTCTCATTACGGAAAAGGCTCGTATGAGAGATTTCTCATATTTCTCATACGAGCTACCGAGCTCGTATACGAACTCCGCGGTCCGTGTATCGAATTTTTTTTACTGGGTGGAAATTCATATAATTTTCATTCCTGTGTAAAATCCCACGTAAGATCCCATGTTCTTTCCCGCATATGAAACCATATATGGGATCTTACGTGGGATTTTACACAGGAATGAAAATTATATGAATTCCCAGGTGAGATCGTATATTATTTCCAATATAATTTTCCACATGGGATCTTACATAGGATCTCACGTGGTTTTTTTTAATAATGATACAAAATACCACAGTTTATATACTTTCACCGCCAGGTGGCGAGAGCGACTTCTCCCCCTGTTAACATGATTTTTGAACACTATATATAACTGAGAGTTTACAGCTCAGAAGAAGTGTTTCAAATTATCGAATTTTTTTTCTTACTGATGATTTGAAATGCTAATACAATTTATTATTTAATTTTTAATTAAATAATTTTAAAAGCTTTGAAAATTCTCGCAATAGATCCCTAATGTAATCACATATCAAATCTTTTGTGAAAACCTATGTGAAATAGGAACGTAATAATAATAATAATATATAATAATATATAATAATATATAATATACAATATTATCCTTTATGGAATCCTATATGTGTTCTCACATAGGAATCCATGTGGATTTTTATGTAGACACACAAACTTAAATTTCCACATGAATTCCTACTCCAAATCGTGTCCCAAATATGCATGTGCTTTAACATGGGATTCCATGTGGATTCTTACGTGGGACCTGGGATTTTATACAGGTTTTTGTATAAGAACCCACGTAAGATCCTATGTTGGATCCCATGTGGGTGTTTTCAATAGGGATGACATTTACATATTTATATTATGCTTATTTTGTAACATTAAATCACATATTTTTCTAACGATCGAATTTTTCTTAAAATATCACGAAGTCTATCTCTCTCACACTTATATACGCTACTGTGCTAATCTGTAGATGCAGGATATTCTTAACTATTTTCCGGGATATGCAGGACATTTTATGTCAAATGCGGGACGTTTTGCGGGACGCTGGCCTTTGCGGGACAAAGGGGAAAAATCCGGGACAGTCCCGCACAATCCGGGACGTATGGTCACTTTAGTTTATTTTCATTTAGAAGCCATCGATATGTAGAATATTATTAACTATTTTATTTCAAAATTATAACGAATTTGACAAAGATTTCTTAATTTTTCTATGCTCTTTGCACAATTTTCCATCTTTTTAGGGTAGTTTGCTGTTCAGCTTGGAGCAGGTCTAAAATTGAAGATCAAGATAAACATCCGGAGCATTAGCATAGACATAATTATAAGAGTAGACTCATATGCGCGAGTCAGATAGGTTGAGCGCTAGACCCATCTTTCTTCTCCCTCACTCCAAAGCATGCCTTGCGTTAGAAAGAGTATGACAAGGGGCTCAACCAGTCTGTTTCGGTGAAACGCTTGATTCTTTTTTAAAAGCAGTTCTCCACTTTATTAAGGAGAACCCGATGTTATAATTATTAATTGTTTTGCGCCATTTTCGAAATTAAAATAATAACCGATAATCCTGTAATTGGTCTTTGTGACTGTTGGATTTATTTCAATAAAGTTAAAATTAAAAAATTAATTAAAATTAAATGCATTGGCTGTCTCTTTCTATACCACATTACCACAAGCTGAACAACAACCCTTTTGAGCAGTCTATTCTTCCATGTCTATAGCTTCAGCAGCGTGTCATCGTGATTATTAATAAGGCAATTTTAAGTTGAACAAAAAGGAAATTCATTTATGAAACATGTAATGAAACCAGTTAGAAGTTAAGCTAGTGATAAGGCAGTCCATGGCTCACGCACATAACTCTTTACTTTATAACGTGATTTCGCTTACTCTCTACATCATGCTTAGAACACAAGGTGAAAGTGCTCGATATATTGAAAGAATTTCGTTTCCGTATCACTAGAGTAAAGGCGTACACCCGGACAAGAGTTCTTACGTCCTTGCTAGACCACTTGTGTCCTTCCTTGTTTCTCAATGGAATATTTAATGTCACTTGCATATCACATTCCACATTTACAAAAATCCCTTCCCTGATAGTTGTAATCAACAAATTATTTTTACAATAATAATCCATACTTTCACATTTTATGCGTATTTTGAAACTTAGTAAATTTCAACAAATGAATTGATAGTAATTAAAGTATTGTTTTCGACCCTGTTATATTTTAATACAAGAGTGTATACTGAGGACGTTTTATGATTTTTTCGTGGATAAATAAGTTTAAGATAGTCTACTGAACTACTTGTTCATTAGTTCATTTTACTTAAATGAAAAAATACACTATTGTAATAACTTAGCACTTTTTTACGAAACAGGTAAAAGAATTTTCACTTCTTTCTCCTAATTTACAAAAATATATTTAAAAAGTATATTATCATTAATAAATAAAAATAATGATAATAAATACACTTCACATATTGATAATAAATATAAATTGGTCATAAAATAAAAAAGAAATAAAATTTAGATGGATTTTTTATTTCAACTAAAATAATTAAGTTTTCAACGATTTTTAAATAATTGGAAAAATTCGACAAAGTTATGTGATTGACCCCGAGATTAAAAGATGGCGCGATACATTTAAATGGATGGTTTGTTAAGGGAAGAGCCAATTTTTAAAATTCCTTTTACTTACGATAATTGTGAGACGAATGGTCATCTTTTAGAAAACGTTGCACTGGGTGTGGTGTGTTATTCCTTACTAGATGGACAACTCCCTTCTCTTAGTTCTTATACTTTTATCCCCGTTAAAATGTATCAGTTCAGTTCGCGGGCTAACTTTCCTTTAACATCAGTACAGCTGTTTCGCATGTTTTTAGATATTAAGGCTTTTAAACATTTTGCTCGCATACGCATCTTCTAATTCATTCTCATAGTTTATACAGAAAAATGCCTGTTGAATTGAGTAAAAATTAAAAACATGTCATCTCATTTGTCAAATTTTTTTGTTTATTTCAAAACCAAAATACACAAAAAAATTTTACATTTATTTTGAGGCAGCTTGTTTTTCAAATCTTATCCCTATTGAAAATCCCCATATGGGAAACCACGTAGGAAACCACATGGAATCCTACGTGGTATTCCACATGGTTTCCTTAGTAATGTTAAAGATTACTGTCGCTCCTATACTTTCACCGCTAGGTGGCGAAAGTGACTTCTCTCGCTGTTGAGACGATTCTGGAAGTATATAAAAGCTGAGAACCTGGAGCAGAGAGGACGTGTTTCAAATGATCGTTTTTTTACTTTTTTGATGACTTGTAACACTAATACTATTTATTATTTAATTTTTTATTAAATAATTTTTAATCCTTTGAAAATTTCTTCATTGGATCTTTAATAAAATACTATGTGATATCTCATTAAATCCTAGGTGAAATCTTGCATGAAATGCTATGTCAATTCCCATATAAAATCCTATGTGAAATCCCTTGTAAAATCCCAAGTGGATTCCCATGTAGGGATATTCAATAAGGTGGATAATGTTTTTCACATGGGATTTGGTTTAGGATTTGACTGGGAAAAACATGTGGGATTTGATATGGTTTTATGCATAGATGAACTGTTCAAATTCCCCATGTCTATTCCTAACTAAAATCCTGTCTCAATTTACCATATGGTTTGACATGGGAAACCACGTGGTTTCCTTCATGGAAGTAGGGTTTTACATGGTTTTTGACATAGGATCCCATGTGGTTTCCCATATGGGGATTTTCAATAGGGATAATTCTAATGGTATCTTTCTGTGTCCACTAACGACTAGTTATACTATTGTTAATGAAGGAAACTTTGATCTTAATTAGAAATTGATGAAAAATATAGACTTTTTGTAAGAGACCATTTTGCACACATAAGAAATGAAGAATTTCCAGAAATTATGATCAAAAAAAGAATATACACATGTCTGGCCGTTTCGTTAGATCATCAAAAAAATAATGGAATTTAATCAAACATATTGAAAAAATATTAAATTCTTACAATTCAAAAGAAAATTCTGGATTTTGTTGTCGATCAACCTTTAAAAATAATAAAAACAATCAATTTTTCTCGAATTTTTTTTATTTGCCTTAATATGAACTCTAAAATCACCATGAATATTTTAAGGGGCCATTCACATACTACGTGACATATTTAGGGGTGGGAGGGGGTTAAGCAAAATCATGCTTAGTGATGCATTCGATCGACACGATACAAAAAACGATCGATATTTGTTCTTATATTATGTCAAAAAAAACGATATGAGAATAAGTATCAATAAATATCGTTATTCGAGCGAAAGTGCCGAGATTCTCGGAATTTTTTATTTGGACATTATTTTCAAAACAATAAAAACAAAATTCTTTATCAAATACATTCAAATAAATAATAGTTTCTTGATTAGAAGTTTGTTGATGTTTAATAGAATAGTTGACTACATTTTTTGGATACTAAATTGTTATAAACAATAATAATTAACAAATAGATAACTTTGATTCATTTCCATTAAAAAAGGTTTTTTCACATTTTCTTTTAATTTAATTTCATTACAAGAATATATGTCCTTTTTGCTTAAAAAGTAACTTATTTAAATTGTTACAAACAATATTAATTAACAAATAGATAACTTTGATTTTTCTTTACTCAAAAAGGTTTTATTTACACGTTTTCTTTTTAATTTATTTAAATTCAATTCAAGAATATATGTCCTTTTTGTTTAAAAAGTAACTTGTTTAAATATTGTTATAAACAATATTAATTAACAAATAGATAACTTTGATTTTTCTTTCCTAAAAAAGGTTTTTCTTCCACATTTTCTTTTTAATTTAAGTTCATGACAAGAATATATGTCCTTTTTGTTTAAAAAGTAACTTATTTACACTACCGTCCGTGAGTATCAGGACGCCTCTTTTTTCATGAGTGGAAAAATGCTTAAAACGTAGAAAATAAGAATGACAAAAATTTTTCGTATTTTTTTCCTGAAAACTAATGAAATTATGAAAAGACTGACACCTGATCGAAGAATTTTCGTTGACTATTCTGTCAGATACAGAGAAAATACTGGATTTTGCATGCTTTTCGTAACTTTTTAATTTCTCGAAAACTAATTAACTTTTATTAGCGATCATGATCTTGTTTTAATCTCTATTTAATGTAGAATCTAAATTATTAACTGGTATTGTAAAATAAATTTTTCCAAAAAAATTTGAAACCGTAAAAGTAGGTTTAAAAAAATTATCATGAATATTAAAGTGTCAAAAAGGTCAATGTAAAATATGTTCATTTAATAGATATACTAAAATTCAAAAAAGCTTTTTAATTACTTAATTATTTAATTAAAAAAAATTTTTTTTTGTTGAAAAAGTGTCAATCTGTTTTTCAAAATTTTTTTATCCGACTTTCACAGTTTCAAATTTTTTTGGAAAAATTTATACACGGAGAAACTTTTAATACCACTAATTCTTAAAACTGGTGAGACATTTTAGTATGTTAGGTTAGATTCAAGGGAAAAACGACATAGGTTATAGAAATTGCTATTGAGACTATCAAAAACACTCATTCAGTATATATTTTTTGTCCTACCTGCACGAAAAGTATGTCATTTCGGGCACTTAAGGCGGGCGCAAAGTAACACATTACGCCCGGGAGTGGAGGAAGCGGGCGGAAAAGTATTTTGCGCCCGCTTGTATGACGTCAGCGGGCGGTAAAGTATTTTCCGCCCGCTTCCCCTACCTCCGAGCGGGCGGAAAAGTATTTTGCGCCCGCTTGTTAATTATTCGATTTTCTTCATTAAAATGCGACATTTTCGACTTTCTTTTTATGTTGACTATAGAACTGCAAACATTTTCAACTTGTTTTATTTTGTCTATAAAAATTTGCAATTTTTTTTTTATTTTCTCTAAAAAAATAATGAGATATTTGGTTTTGTTCCCATTTCGTTTATCAAAATTGTCAATTTTAAAAGTTCTTGTTTCAGTTTTGTTCAATTATTAATTACTACGTTCTAAATAAATACTATGTTTCCAGAATACATTGTTTTTTATTTCTATTTTAAAACTTCTATCATTATAGACTTCATTCGATATAATGTTTATATAGAGCTTAATTTTTAACTAATATGAGCGTTTAATCGTGCGTGCCCTGAATGCCATACTTTCCATGCAGTTAGGACAAAAAATTATGTTCGCATCATGGGCGCAAAGGTGATTACGACTTTGGCGAAATTTCGGGACCTCGGGGACACTTTCGCTCCCTCGGCTTCGCCTCGGGCGCGAAATTGTGTCCCCTCGGTCCCTTCATTTCGCCATCATCGCAATCACCTATTTTGCGCCCTTGTTACGAAAATAACTATTACAGTTCTTCATAAGGAAACTAACGAAAATTAGTATGTTGTTTTAGAAAGAAAATAATAATTTTTGCAAAGTTGGGAAAGCCATGAATTAAAAAGAAACACAACAAATTAATTGTCTATAGATACTCATAGAGACGATAGTGATACTTGGATCTGATGGTAGATGGCATTAGTGAATGTCACTGTAACTGTAGGTAAATATATTTAACACGACGTAAGAACCTAACCTATATTAATAACGCACACACGCACACGCAAGTAAAGACACGACGATTGGTCACGGAAACCGAAAGATCGCACGATTCGTTAGAAGTACACAGCTGAATCGTCCTTATATATTAAACGAGTGGAAAAATATGTACCTTCGAGAGAGAGCATTTTTTTAAATAACTTTCTAATCAAATTATGTAAATAAGTAAAAGTCGTGGAAAAAATTATGTTATATTGAGGAACAGTTCTTGAATTTAATTTGGCATGAGGAGACATTCACGTTTATTAATAAAAGGTTTTTTCTTTCATACACGTGTGAATTTCAACTTCTTCTTCTTTAGAATTTCAACTTCGAAAACATTAGGGTTAGTTCGCGACGTCAGGTGATGGACTCGGTGATGCTCGGGCGAAATCGGTTAAGTCCGCCCGCAGTCCTTCCAAAATTGGTATGTTACGTTAGAATGTCTGTTATATATTCTATCTATATGTGGAAAAAAGGTTAGAATTACCGTATTATTTCACAAACAAAAACTAGCATTTTATTCTTTTCTAAAGAAAAATAAGACTATTTCTAATGCAGATAGTAATTTTTGTACACCGAAGGTTGCTTAATATATAACGAATTTATCATATTTTCGTATTAATGTTGAAATTATTAGCACAACGCACGAAAAATCCTCACATTCTAACGTACTTTTAGAATAAACATAACCAAATATATTTAATATTATAAGAAAAAGTTTCTCCGTGTACACAATACCATTAATTAATTTAGATTCTACATTGAATAGAGATTGAAACATAAGACCAAGAACGCTAAAAAAAGTTAATTAGTTTTCGAGAAACTAAAAAATTACGAAAAGCATGCAAAATCCAGTATTTTTTCTGTATCTGACAGAATAGTCAACGAAAATTCTTCGATCAGGTGTCAGTCTTTTCATAATTTTATTAGCTTTCAGGGAAAAAATACGAAAATTTTTTGTCATTCTTATTTTCTACGTTTCAAGCATTTTTCCACTCATGAAAAAAGGGGCGTCCTGATACTTACGGACGGTAGTGTATATTGTTATAAACATTATTAATTAACAAATTGTTAACTTTTGTTCCTCTCCACCAAAGACATATTTTAAAGTCACAATATTTAAAATAAGTATTTATACTTACATTCTTATATATTTTAAATGAGCCTAAATAAAAAAGTAATCGTAAAAAAATTTTTGGTGAAGAGGAACAAAAGTTATCTATTTGT